GAAAAGAGAGAGAATAAAATACCAACCCACCAACCAACAACAACAACAACAGGCAGCAACAGCATCAACAAATTCAAATGCCACAACCAGTTGCTCAGGCAGCACGACACCACACCACACCACCGGCCACCGCCACCGAGCACACCACCACAACAACACAACAAACAAAATACAACAACAACAACAACAACAACAAACAACACAAACAACAACAAACAACAACAACAACAACAAAACAAACAACAATCACAACAAACAACAACAACAACAACAACAACAACACAACAACAAACAACTAACAACAACAACAACAACAAACAACAACAACAACAACAACAACACAACAACAACAACAACAACAACAACACAAACAACAAACAACATACAACAACAACAACAAGCAACAACAGATTTCGCACATGATGATCCACTTACTGGGTATGTGGGCCAGTAACAAACTGCACGTCGAGCAGACCAAGGACTGCTTGCTGTTGGCCCTTCTATCGTTGGCGCATGCAGAGACGCGGTAGGCCACCACACGATCCTCATTGTCAAAATCCAATGAGTGCATACGATTGTGGGTAGCAGTTGGGATGGGTGAATGTCAACGAGGAGTGGGTGCACCGAGCATAGACAGCATATCTGGATGGCCAGCTTGGACCATCTGTAAACAAGACACAAAGATTTAATGAAATCCCTACTTTCTCGCCCTAGCCCCCCATTTCTTTAATCAAATTATTTAGGATCCATCATGTGTCACAGTCCGTGCTGGGAATCAGGAATCCGCGTCTCAGCTTCCTCCTCCCTTCCCCTCCCGCCTCCCCCCCCCTCCCCTGCCTCCACCGCCCAGAAAATCCTTGTAGGACAAGGAGCGCGGCCAGAGGCTGTTGCAGAGACAGTCCCGCGAGCCAGCCAGTCAGGATGGTTGCACATTGCTTCTGGTGGTCGCAGCGCAGGGGCCTGGGACTTTTTATAATAATTAACAAACCCTCGCATTTCTGGCCTGCAGCGAAATCGAAAAGCAGCCCGTTCTTATCAGGTTAGGGTTAAGCAGTCCTGTCTTTCAATCACGAAGGCAACAAACCTCAAAATAAATTCCAGACGCAACATTCCCCCTTCATTGGCATTGGACTTGGACTCGGAGTGCGCCTTTGCGGAAGCAATCGACAAGGTCCTGGGTTCAACAACGATGATTCGATTCAATCAAAGCCCAATGTCGTTATTAATAAGGTTCGAAAACTTTGGCTTCCGCATCATGACGCTCCTTGGTACCGGTAGCTCCGTGTACAGTTAGTATGTAGCAAGCTTGGTGTGCTTCCGCCAAAGTGTTTCCAGTGGTCCACCTTGACTCCAACTCGCGTTTGCACCGTGCCTGCACGTATGTATCTCGCTTATTCGGAAGCTGCAATTTCTTGTCTCTTTGGTTTCCTCACTCATCCATAAAAAAGTTTCTCAACTTGGTCAACCGCTCCAGCCACTTCGCCGCTGTATCGTATTTTTTTTAAAAGCAAACTAACTACAAGTATCATGAGCACCCAGGACAGAAACCTCCTCACCATGGCGAGTGATTTGTCGCTCTCGGATCCTTTCAACAGTCAAGTCGAGACGACTATCCGTTCGAAGGTGGTGATTTTCAGCGGTGGACCGCTTGCCTCAGTGGTCGCCGACTTTCAAGACGAAAAGAAGGCCGACGATGGTTCCTCTGCCCCTTCGACCGCCGATGTCACGGCGGCTCCGAGTCTCGCGTCATTGGGAACCAATCCAGCCACTGAAAGCCCCAAGGTCAGCAGCGTTTCTTCAGTGTTGGATTATCGGGCAGTGCGTTGGTGCGGAACCAAGTTCTACTCTGATTTGGTCCACGATGGCCTTGAGTGGCTTGGCAAGCCCAAGGACGATGTTGTGATGGTATACGAGAGCCCATCCTACGAGACACCCGGAACGTCGTTTGTCAACGCCTCCAAGTATTTCTTTCATGACTCCCCTGCTGGGTCTCCTATCCCTCGCACTACACTGGGACCTCTGCGATACGGTGCCATGACGGGTGATGCATTCCCAGTCTATCTGCAAAACCAACCCGACGCCCAACTCGTCAATCACTGGAAGAACAGCTTGCCTCATTTTGTGGAACCCAGGTTTGTCCACGGCCTCAAAGAAACCAACCGAATCTATGCTTACCTGCCACTTGAGCAAGTTGCAAATCACGTCCATGATCCACAAGCACACTACCATGTCGCTGGAAAGGACGCCATTCCTCTCATGACCACACTCACAACGAAGCTATTGCCTGACACCAAGCAGGTGCGGCCCTGCATTGCCAAGGTCAATCATTCCATGGGAAGCCGGGGCATCTTTGTCATTCGAGACGACAATGACGAGAACGAGTTTTTGGAGTTTCTCCAAGAGACTGGCAATCCTCCCTATGTTGTGTCTGAGTTTATCAACATCGTTCGTAACATTGCATGCCACTTCTTCATTCACCCTGACGGCCGCATTGTGTGGTTGGGGTCATCGGAGAATGTCCGGTTGGAAGACGGAACCTGGAGTGCTGACTCGACCATGGACAGAACCCAGCAAGACATCCTTCAGGCTCTGCAACTCCCTGGAGCCCGCGACGTGGCTGACTACTGCTTGTCTCTTGGCTTGTGGGGTTTCTGCGGCATTGATGTGTTGATTGATGATAAGGGCCAGGGGCACGTTGTGGATGTCAACCCCCGTGTCACTGGTACCTGTCCAGCTCTCATGGCATTCCGAGGGATGCAGAAGCGTTTTGGATTTGACTACGGTCTCTTTCGTCGAAGCACCAGCCACGCCTTTCCTGGTTCGCTTGCTCAGTTGTTGGAGCAAGTGGAGGCTCACAATGCAAACCATGAGGGAGAAAGTCGTATCGTTTTGTTCAGTGTTGCCGAAAAAAGTGCAGACCAGACACTGTTGAACATGGGTGTTTACGGAAAGTCATTGGAAGATTGCGAGGTCCATCTGAACCACTTTTCTCGAGTCTTCCGTTACAAAAAGGCTACTTACATGTGATGACAAAAGACAAAAAGATGATGAATTGAATGGCTGATTTGCGTTTGCCTATGAGTATGCTATGCATGTTGTTTACGAATGGATATTCCAATGCTAAGAATGCTTGTTTAGATACATGTAGCTTTCATTTATTTGCTTATTGAGATTGCTGCTTGCCCCCCACCCGCATTCTTGATGATATCTGCTTGTGGTGCTAGAAGACCAATTGCCCTACTAGACTAGACTTGTGCCATTAGACGGGCTCGGATCCGATTGCTGAAACTTGTACATACAAAAGAAGTACCGATACACTAGCTACCCTGCAATAGAGGATTTTTTTGTCTTCATCTTGCTTGGGACCTCAGCCAACCACCATCATCTGCATACTAGTAGCTCCAATTTGTCAACCATACATGTGTATCCTTGGTTAGCACGCACCTTTCTAAAAGCAGTGCACCAGTGGCTGTGGCTGGGGGTGCCTGTGGGAGTTCCCATAGGAGTCCCTGTAGGAGCTCCGGCTGGTGTTCCTGTGGGGGGTTCAGTTGGTTTGTCACACATTGAATACCCGTACTCCCCACAAAGACCATCAAGGTCCCAGAATCCTCAACTAAAGGGTGTGCATTCAAAGGGCCCATCGCACAATTGACTTCTAGTTCCGCAATACCATCCTTGTGCTTCCAGATCTTCACAGCGAGGCCTTGCTTCTTCAACAACCAATTTGCGGTGCCTGGCGTTTAACTCAAAGGGAGACTATTGAATTCCAATTTGCGACTGGGTCCTTGAAAGCGCTCTTCAAGATTGGGATTGTGCACAGGAGTATACCACCCCTCCATAATCAAGGATAGTCTGACCAGCGGGGCAAAGTAGGCCCCACAGTGATTTCACAGAACTCTTGAAAGTCGTAGAGCCGTCGAAATGTAACTGATTCTGAAAGAAAGCTGTATCTGCACAATATGCTGGATCGTAGCAGGAACCGGCATACAGACCCAGCAGCTATCTTACAAATGAAAACTATGGCTATACAGGAAATTACGAAGCATTATTTTAAGCCTACACCTCACTAGACAATTCCGCTGAATGGTGCCATAGCAAACCCGCATACCTCAGACGCACAAAGACGCTCACTTAGGAACGAGCCTAGTGTAAGCCCCCTGCCAGAAAACCATGGCTATAAAGAGCAGGTTCATAACTAAGCAAACTTTCCAGCTTCTGGAGCATTCCCCGATCGTGCGTAGCCACAAATCTAATCCGCCCCTATTTTATGGGCGGATTTATGGCAGAATTCCAATAGGGGTGGGTTTCAAACCTGCCTTTTAGGGGCGCTTTTGGGAATCCACCCCTAAAATAGGGACGTTTTCGGTATTTAGGGGGAAGTTTGGAAACCATCCCAAATTGTAATTGGGACTGCATTGTAAACACATTGAAACTGCCCCTATTTTAGGGGCGTGTTCGAAAACACGCCCCTATTTTTAAAAGGCGCGGTTTCTGAAATCCACCTTTAAAATGGGTAGGTTTGGAAAACCACCTCTCTTTGTCGGATTTATGTGCAGATTCTCTCCCCGTCCAACTACCCTAATTTAGAGGTGGATTCAGTAACATGCACGACTGAGCGACACTCTGGAAAAGAAATAGAAAATTCACACAAGAATACAATTACATGCATGTTTGAAGCTGAAAAGTCATCTACCTTCTTAATGCCAATTTTCTCTTCATTTCTACATCCAACTCTTCCTCATCCACATCCTCCTTTGTTCTCCCATATCTTTCTCTTCTTCCACTACTTCCTGATCTTGACTTATACATCATCTGCATATCATCATTTCCAGGGCTACTCAAATACCATAGAACAAGAGCATTTCGCTAAGGCAGCTGTGTCCGATATATTGTACCGACTTTAAGTTTCCTTCCGTTACCTTCCGTTTTTGTATGTTGATATAGCGAATATAGAAAATCTGTGATTGCTTTTGCATTCTTTTGAACCTAGCCAGAATATATTCCATTCAATGCCTTTATTTTGTTTTAAATTAAGCCGAGGTCTGATGTCGAAAGCTTTGTTTAATTAACTCAGCAGTTTTTGGCTACCGGTACTATTAGTAATAGCACTGACCATTGTTAGGGGTTCTAAAATCTGCCAGAGCTGCTGTTGGAGTTTATGGCTTCAACACTGAGGAGACTTTACCTCAGTCCCTCCCGACTTTAATTGTGAAGCATTTATTTAAGCCTTTTCTACCAAGGCTACACAAAAACTAGTGACTTAGACAGACACGCAGGAGTAAAATGTCGCATTGGCAAAACACAATACTACTATTTTACTATACGTCTGTACTATAGATTGTAAATATATTACATTATTCCTTCTTTTTATTACGCCTCCAGAGAGTATGGCATGTGTCCAGAACTATTGAAACGTACACTAT